GATGAAAGAAGTTGAGAGGGACACAAAAAAATGGAAAGATACTACATTTTTATGCATTGAATGGATTGATATTGTTAAAATATCCATACTATGCAAAACAATGTATAGATTCAATGAAATTCCTATCAAAATAACAATGACATTCATCACAGAAAAAAAAAATAAATCCTAAATTTTATATGGAACCACAAAGACCCAGAATAGCCAAAGCTGTCCTGAGCAAAAAGATCAAATCTGGAAGAATCACATTACCTGAGTTCAACATACTCCAAAGTTGTAGTTACCAAAACAGCATGGTATTGGCACAAAAACAGACACATAGACCAATGGAACAGAATAGAGAAACCAAAAGCAAATGTATACATCTACAGTGTATTAGTTAGTTCACTTTCATACTGCTACAAAGAACTGCCCAAGACTGGGTAATTTATAAATGAAAGAGGTTTACTTGACTCATAGTTCTGCATGGCTGGGAAGCCTCAGGAAACTTACAATCATGGTGGAAGGTGAAGGGGAAGCAAGGCACGATCTTTGCAAGGTAGCAGGAAGGAGAAGTGCTGAGCAAAATACGAAGAGCCCCTTATAAAACTATCAGATCTCACGAGAATTCACTCAGTATCATGAGAACAGCTGGGGGGAACTGCTCCCATGATTCAATTACCTCTACCTGGTCTCTCCCTTGAGCCATGGAGATTATGAGGATTACAATTCAAGATGAGATTCAGGTGGAGATAAAGCCTAACCATATCAAACAGTAAATTCATTTTCAACAAAGGTGGCAAGAACATACATCAGAAAAGAACAGTCCCTTTAATAAATGGTGCTGAGAAAATTGGAAATCTATATGCAGAAGAATGAAACTAGATGTCTACCTCTCACCGTATACAAATATCAAATCACAATGAATTAAAAACTTAAATATAAGTCCTCAAACTATGAAACTACTACATGAAAACACTGAGGGAAATCTTCAGGACATAGGAATTGGTACAGATTTCTTGAGTAATACCCCACAAGCCCAGGCAACCAAAGCAAAGGTGGACAAATGAGATCACATCAAGTTAAAAAGCTTCTGTACAGCAAAGAAAGCAATCAACAAAGTGAAGAGATAACTCACAGAATGGGAGAAAATATTTGCAAACTACCCATCTGGCAAGGGATTAATAACCAGAATACATAAGTAGCTTAAACAACCCTATATGAAACAATCTGATAATATAATTTTAAAATGGTCAAAATATATGAATAAACATTTCTCAGAGCAATAGAAATGGCAAACAGGGATATGAAAAGGTGCCCAACACCACTGATCATCAGAGAAATACAAATTGAAACTGCCATGACATATCAACTCACCCCAGTTAAGATGCCTTTTATCAAACAGACAGGCAAGAGCAAATACTAATGAGGATATGGAGAAAAGGGAACCACCATACACTGGTGGTGTGAATGGAAATTAGTTCAACTACTATGGAGAGCAGTTTGGAGGTTCCCCCCAAAAAATAAAAATAGAGCTACCAAATGATCCAG